GGTTTTACCATAAATTTTAGGAAAGTAAAGAAAATGCAAAATGCTCAGTATTTTGATAATCCCGAAATGAAAGGGTTTTGATATAGACATTTTGAAACTGAAGTGTGCCTGCCTGGTCTGATGACTGGTAGCGGTTATTTTGTGCCTTCATTTTCTTAATTTGGTGGGTTTTCTCTGAAGAATACCAACAAATGCTATCAAGCACGAAATTATCATTTTTTATTAAATATTACAAAGAAGTTTCTAATCTGCAACAAGTCCCAGACATGGCCTTCATCAGATGTTTCAATGTCATAATATATGTAAAACATCACCAAGAGGTCTCAGTCCTCTCTCTTAAGAGAATTTACAGCTTGCTATTTCCTTTTGTCTTCAACCTACAGGGAAAAAAAGCATAATAATACTGGGTGCTCCTAAAATCAGATAGTGTGTTCACAGAACATAAAGGTGACTGAAGTGGGATCAAGAACAAGAGAACCACAAAGACTGTAAAAAAGTCATACAATGTGAGTAGGAGAAGCAATTTTTCAAAAACTTTAGCGGAACTCTTTAGTGGAAGCATAATGTCTTGCAAGGAAGCTGGATATGTTAGTGAGTCCCATCAGGGTTAGAGGAAGAGGCTAGCTGCTCTGGTACAGGCACATAAACTTTTCAGGAGCTGACCCTGGAAGGAAAAGGCGTGTTGCCAGCCCATGGGTTTTAATACATTCTCGCTATCTCCTTCCAAAGTATATATATTTCCCCTTCTTTCCCACTGCCTTTGGGAGAGAAGGGTATTCAGAGAAGGGAAGGTAGAACACCAGAACTCAAAAATTTCCCCTTGAGAAAAACATACCTGGGAAATTCCTGGTTCTCTCCATAAGCTGCTGGTTAGATGTCACTGGATCCCACCCCTGCATATATTCTGCTTCCTGTGGTATCAGAGTTGCTGACACAGAGTTGATCTAAATCCCCTAGACTTGTTTTAAAATCATATGACACACAAAAAAGTGTTTGATCTACCCACCTATAAGGAGCCATGTGAAACCTCTGACTCCCAAAGGTCTTCTAGCAATTATGTCAATAATTTTTCAGGTGAAAATCCAATTCTGAAATCTGGAACATTAAGAAGAACCTGAAATTTCAGGGACTGGTAATAAACCATAGCTATGGTAACAACAAGCTGCTTGGTTTGATTTAGTCCCATGGTATAAGCTATTACTGAAAACATGGCACAAAGCGATTCAAATCAGTATCAATTTGTGTTCCTTTGTGAAAGATGTGAGCTTTCATTACCTTGTAGAGTAGGCAAAAAAAACCCATGCTGCATGCACCGCGTTATTTCATGGTACCTGCTTGGCAGCCCTTAGGTGACACAGTTTATTGTTAATGTTGTGCACAATGCACACGATGTACTTTTAGTGGAACATTTCAGTGTTCTGTAGGCCAACCTGCCCCTACCAGAAGGGATGCAGTTTATTAGGGAAGCCAATCTGCTCTTAATTATAGTGCCACCCGATGCTGTTTAGCATCTTGCTTTGTAACATCCATAGTTACTTTTTTTTTTTTTTTCAAAACGGGAGGAATTTCTCAAAGGCTTCTCAAAGGCTTTGCTAGGACACAGTGTTCAACTGGAAAAGTTGTGGGTAGAGGAAAAGGATTTCTGTACTCAGTGAAACAACTCAAGAACTGAGAATTTGTGATTTTAATTTCAAAGTTATTTGCAATATAGATGTGCTTACAGAAATACCACTGTTGCTTTTTTGACAGAATGCACACATGCTTGATTTCTTAATTAGATAGGGGAAATAGTCTGCATTCTCTTAGAACAATGTTTAGCTATTTAACATTTGAAGTTTTTTTTTACTAATCTTTTAATTCTATTAAACGAAAAAGCAAGTGCATAGAATGAATATTGAACACATTTCTGGCTTTATTCACAGAAAAATGCGGTTTTCAGAGGTTATGCTTCCGCTTAATTCTATTTAGAGCATCATGTTTTTACTTGGGAGGAAAAAAAATGTGATTTCTGAACCTGGAAATAGACCACAAGCCCTTGGGTAAGATGTGCTGCAACTGACCTTAATGAGACAGCATCTGCCTAGTGCCAGTGCTTACTTAAACTGTTACTTTCAATTGTTATTTTTCTTCGTTGATTCTGCCAAGAGGGTGGAGTACGTGTCAGAAGAAAGAGGTGAGGAGAAAACTTTTCAGACAATAAGAACTTGAGTCCATTCCTTGTCTGGAGCATCACAGCTCCCAGTAATTACCTGGGGATGTGGGCTGTTTCCACTTAACATTGATTCACGTGTAAAATTACAGGACTTTTCTCTCATACCATTCTTCCCTTCTCTAGGAGTATCAAGACCTTTACACCCCTCTTGAGCAGCGCACAGACTGGAACAGTCCCAGACTCTGGAACACAGACTGCTACACTCCTGATTCTTAACCTAATTTAGTGTAAGGTGTCCCTGCCCACGGCAGGGGGGTTGGAATTAGATGATCTTAAGGTCCTTTCCAACCCTAACTATTCTATGATTCTATGTAAGAGGTGATAAGCCAATGTGACTCATCTTAGTGTAGCTTGGCTGTACTAGGTGCAGCGGGACAAATGGACAGAGAATGGACTGGAGCCAGTTACTACCCACCATCCCTGAACAGTGGAGCCTTGTAGGTGGGACAAGAGGATGAATGTGTCTTTGGTTCTCTCATCTGACCGCTTAAATCTGTTTGGTTTTTTTTCTGCTCTGAGCAGCAGCACTGTCAAAGCACAGATGCCCCAGCAGGGACACCTTAGGAGACATGGTGTTGCTGTCAGAGGTGATTCAGCCACACAGCTTTCATATGCTCTGCCACACTCATCTTGGCTTTTTTACCCATTTGTGTGTTTTGTTTTTTTTTCCTCTGTGGTATTATTCATGAGGAGTTACATAGGAAATTGTAAAGCTTCCATGAACATGTAATACTGAGGTACATAAAAACACTGCAGTGACATTTACTAGGAGATGGAAGAGCTGCTATCACACTCTTTCCAGACATGCCGCTTTCTGGGGTCATGATACGCCTTTAGATGCTTGCAGCTTCATTACAGGGCAGCATCACAAACTCCAGAGCTCAGCAGCTCCTCACCTGCTGCTAAACGGCTTCACCTTCTTGATATCCAGCTTCCTCACAGCTCACCGTGTCCCCGTGTAAATATTCAAAGTGCATATGCTTATCCAACAAACAGTATGCCACAAATGTTACACACAGACAGCTACTTTAAACAGGTCTTGAACTAGCCTGTTTACGTACGTCTTGGTCTTGACTGTTTTGCAATGTACTTTAGCTCTTTCTGTTCTTATATTGATGTTTACCTACCATGCTCTCTCTCACAATCATTGTTCAACATTGAAGCTGACTTCAGGATGGACAGCTTCATTGAGGTGTTATCAACACTAATCTAGATTCCTGGTCTTTTACTGTAAAACAGTAAAATGTAAACTATTATCATTCAAAGGACCTCTAGCAACAGCCTGAAGGTTTTGATGGGATCTCCAGGAGTTTTAGTATTTGTTTTTTTATTCAGGATTTACTAACTTCTAAAAGCCTGTATTTCTACAACTCACCTACAAAACACCTAGTGACAGCTACGCTGCATAGTTAAAACAAGCTGGTGAGGAATGTACATTGTGTCAGGTCTTCAGTGAGCATGTAAGGGCTTTATATGGATAAAAGAGAGGACAACATAACAATGTACAGCATTTCTACTTGCTCATGCAAGTACTTCTGCGGCCTGTCTTTTTACAGAGTACATTCTGAATACCTAGGCATAAATAAAATATGACCTGTGCTGAAACACAACATATAACTTTCCAAGGAGATAAAAGCTATTCTGTGATCATCAGCTACCAATTAAAAATGCATTGGGTCAGCAAGAAGTGTTTGAATACGAATTTATTGATTGTGAAGATTTCCACATGAACACAGAACTGCTCCTGTTTCACCTCACCTCCCTAAGTTGTCATGTCCATCACACTCTGCAATGCACCGCTTTTTGTATCTTGGTGGTGATGGCTTCTGTAATTTTTGTATAGTTACAGTGAAGCTGGAAGCTGTCCAAGTTATTTTCTCCTCTTCGTGTTTTTGTCTGATAATGTGGATTGCTGATTGAGTCAGGGTACACTTGTTCAGAAGTCAGTTTAGAATGGGGACCATTGGGCTGCATTGCAAACAACAGTAACATGAAGGCTGCTATTGCAGAGTATCACTTGAAGTACTTGGACCAAACTCAAAGCCGCTTGTGGTAAGGGGAGGGGGGAGCCTCTTACTGTGTTTGAATTATCGCTGACGGGAGCATTTTGTTTCCAGTTCTGTGGCTGGAGGCCTCCTGATGGCACTGAGGATATTTTGGTGGAACTGATCACTGAAATTAATGTTATGATACTTTTTTCTTTCCACTTCATTTTCTTACTAAAAGAAAGTACTGGTAAATTCTTGCTTTATGAACTCTGTTAAGTCTGTAACCTACTTGCCTTGTGAACCTCAAATGCCATAATTCTGGAGTAAGGCATCTCACTTTTCCTTACCAATTATACCAAATGAAGTGCCTTCCATTAGGCGTTTCCCTGATGACAGTTACACGCCGTTACTAACGGGTCCCTTCCCCGATCCGGCGGGCTGGAGGCTGGGGTCCCGCTGGACAGCCCTGGGGGAGCGCGGACGAGTAAGTGGACAAACCACACCTACAGCCCCACCGGGCCTGAGCGAGGGCCCGTGACCGCCCCACCGCCCACCGTGGGGCCGTGGTCTGGAGGCTGGGCAAGGCTGGGCCGATTAGCCCCCCGCCCCGGCCCCCTCCTCGTGGGCTGGGTTATGTAAGCGGCCTGTCCCCTAGCAGCGGCAGCAGCATTTTGCGGGGCTCCCGCCCCTGTCTCCGCCCCCCTCGAGAGGCAGGCGGTGGCAGCGCAGTAGAGCAAGTTTTGTCTCCTGCCAGGGGGCCGCTGGGTTTCACGGCCCTCAGCCGTCGTGGCCCGACCATGGCTGCGGCGTTTCTGGGGCAGGCAGCAGCCCCCACCGCGCCGGCGGCGCCCCGCTAACCTTCCTCGGCAGCGGGAGCGGCCGCCTCCGCCGGCCATCTGCGCCGGGGCCGCGTGAGAGCGCGCAGCTCCGCACCGCCGCTGCTGCCGCTGCCGAAGAACTGCGCCCCCCCCCTCCTTCCCCCCCCCCCCCCCCCAGCCCGGCGCGGCACCATGTGGGGCGGGTTGCACCCCCAGCTCGGCTTGCGCGGCTACAAGGCGGGTAAGTAGAGCCCCGCGGCCCCGCCGCCTCCCTTGCGTCCCGGCGGGGCGGGAAGGGATGGGACCGAGAGGACGTACAAGGATCCCGTCGCACTGGGGCAACGGCGGTGGCGCGGGCGGGCCGCGCCGTTTCCTCTAGCCGCAGCCCGGCTCCCCTCAGAAACGTGTGAGGAAGCGGCTTCCTCCTCGCACGGGCGGGAAGCGTTACGGCCCCCGCTGGCTCCATGAGGGGGACGTGGCGGTGGGGCCTCCCGGAGAGGGCGCGGGGGCCGGACTGCTGCCGCCGCCGCCCGGGTCCCGGCCGGGAACAGGCCGTCCGTCCGTCCGAGGGTTCGGTGTTTGCTTAGCTGGACCTCGCAGCGGAGGGTAAAAGCTGAGCTTAACCTCTATAATCCGTTTCCTTGTTTGGGTTTTATTTTTCCTCTCTCCGTTTTGTTAGTGTAGCTTTAGGCAGGGGCTGGAAGCGTGCTTTGCTTTATGCGTCTCGTTTTTAAACTGCAATAGATAAAGCCTTTTTTTTTTTTTTTATTCCCTCCCCCTTTTCTGTCTTAGCGTTAATTAGAGCGTAGTTCCTGCAGGTTTGCAGGAAGACATTGAAATGTTATGCTTGGAGTTAGGTTGTTACTGAGGAGACATGGATCTGTAAGCGAGGGGCTGATCCCTGCCGTAAAGGCTCTGTCAGAACTGCCAGAGGAGAACTGGTGGATTGATTGCACAACAGCATGAGCATTACTTTTAGGAGGGTAAGACTGGGTACCAATTGTCTGGGATGCCCTGTTGAGGATTTGGAAATGTTGTTATCTGCATCACCTGCTTTTACTCTGGCAGAGTTCTTTCCTGCAGATACTTTGTGGTATTTTAACTTACTGAAGCTAATCGATCACTGGTGAAGGTCTGTGGTTTGGCTTGTTGTTACAAGTTCAAAGTAGTGCTGTTGGAGTAATACCCTTTTTTTCCTTAAGAAATTTGGATTCATGTTTTAATTTTGGGATTACAAAAGAGGCTGTTTTATGCTTGTACAGTTCACTTATTTAAATGGCAGGATTGTTTTGCTTTCAGCTAACAGGGTTTTTCTTGCAAATACAAGAGCTGCTAAGACGTTCTCAGCAGCTGCCTGAATCTCTACAAGTAGTCTAATGTTTCGTCCCTTTAATGTGAAAGACGACGTTGTTCCTTTTTGTCTGTACTATTGTGAATTCCTATGTATAACACGTTTGCCTTGTTGAAGTGTTTCTTGTTGGGGTTTTTAATTGTTTTGTTCTGTTATTTTTTCAGTGCTTCCACAAAAGAATGGAGTGACATTATCTTTGTGCACCAGCTTGCAGAGATGCTGGGTGTTCTGAACATTAGGTGCAGAGATTTCAGTTAATTTGGTGTAAGCTGCAGCAATTCAGGGTGCTCTAGTTCTCGATTATTTGTGTCTGGGGCAGGAATATCAGAAGTGTTGTATCACAAGTGTGCACTGGCACTAGCTTCAAACTGTTGAAAAGATTGTTGGTGTTCATTTTTCATTTGTTTCAGAAAACTTTGGATTGTGGCATTCATGACACATCCCTTTTGCTTGGGATGAAATAAAGGGGGTTAGTACCATGCTGAATTTGTCAGCAATTCTGGTCAGTTATTGGATAGATGTTTCGCTTGGGTTTGTTTGTCAGAATTGTCTTTAAGATTTGAGAATTAATTTTGGGTATTGCTTTTCTTTCCTCCCCCATAATCTTTCTTTTAAATACTCAGGGTTAATATGAAGTTCAACACTTTATCTGTAACCAGTAGAAGTGTAAAGTAGCAAAATTTGGAGAAATATCTCAGAGATAAAACGGAGTAACAGAAGGTGGTGGTTAATTAGAAAGCAAGTAGATAAATGTTTAGGCTTGAGATATGATCTGTGCATTATAATTTCCAACATATATTTCAGTCCCTTCCTTCATCAGCCTTACTTTGAAAGAGTCAAGAAGCTGTTTCAAGAGGTCCATAATCCCTCTAAAGAAGAGGAAGTTAATTAGCTCCATGCAGGTTTTTAATGAAGGGATGATGGCTACTAAGATCTTGGCTGTTACATTATTGCTGGATTAGGTTTTTGGTGTGGTTTTCTTTTTTTTCTTCTGTAAGAGGAAGCTGTCCATGGGAAAAGTATTTTGTTGCAGAACGGTAGCCTCTTAGTAGAAGGCAGAAGTTTAGGCATTTATTTTTCAAGATGAAGGAAGTCTTAATTTGCCAAGATAAGTTTCATTCTTTAACGGCAACTACTTGCTATGGATTCTGATTGTCTTTTAAATATTGGCATGGGAGCATAACAGTTAGTGACTTGTTAATTCTTATTAAGCTGTGTTTATTACCAAAAGGCATTCTGTTTTGCTAGTTGTGTTCTAGTTGTCTATGGATATGGGTATCTAGAAGTCCTATGTTTTGTTGAAAATCTTGCAATCCCCTTACAAACCTAGGTGTCTACTGAAGAGTTACTAGATTTTCAGTAACAGATGCAGATTAATTCTGATTTTCTTAAAGTTTCTTAAAAGGTAATAAGCAGGAACACTTTTTAGGGAGTATTTGTGGCCTTCATTTTTATTCCTTCCTGACATTTCCAAATTGTTTGTTCTTTTCTATTCAATAGGAGTGCTTTCTCTGGGGGGAAAAAAAAAAACAAAACAAAACTAAACCCCAAGATAAGTCTTGTTTGAATCCTGCAGCGATTTAATGACTTATTTTGCAGGGGCAGCAAACTTTATTAGTAAGTTCAGCTTTTTACAGTCTAAGTATCTGTTCCAGAAAACTAAATTGCTGGTTTTGGAATGTATACGATTGACTTAGTCTTTCAGTCATTTTGTACATAAATGGTTTATAAAAACCTTGCAGCATAGTTTATACCTCTGTAAAGACAACAGCTGCTCACTGCGCTACAGGAATTTAAATAACTGCAGTGAAGGGCATACAGCATGTAAGTCCCTTTGCTTATTCACCTAGACCATCATTTAAGATGCACAGTTGGCTAATGACTTTTTTAAGACTATGAAAGTGTTCACCTAGATGTGTTGTCCCTCTAGGGCATGCAGTCATCCATTCAGGCTGTATGTGTCAAATGAATGCCTGGGGAAAGTGAAACAAACATGCTTTAAAATGGAATAACAAATATTACTTTCAGTAAACTGTACCACCTTCAGTCAAGCTTCTCTCCACCATCCAGTGTTAGCAATAGTTGGCTACTACTGAAATTTGGCTGGTAATAGATGTTTAGGTGACAAAAGTCAGAAGTGGTGAAAACTAGAAGTAAGGTGCTCAAAATGATGTGATTGACATTCCATAAAAATAGCCTGTATCCCTCTGCTCCTAGAGCCCTTGCAATGTGATTTGTTCCTCTGGCAAATCCCAGAAGACCCCTGTCTTCTCATACTTAACCCTTGTTAGCAGTGAACACGGCACATATGGATCTGAAGGGTTCTGTAATGGTGTCACAGTCAAAGTGCTAGCAACAGTAAGATCACAACACACTGTAAGGCCCACAGGATGCTGCCTCCTTTGAGTACCCATAGGCTGGATGTGCAGCTTCACAGCACAGGTGGGGAGGTGGGGCTGATGACACACTTCTTCATCCTTTGGGGTGGAGGAGGACAGAAATCCAGTGGTTTTATCTGTAACAAGGTTTATTGGTCTGCTGTTGGTCTGCAGCAGGGAATGTGCTAGCTCTTGGGACATCTTGAGAAGGCAGGTTTATATTTTCAGGCTAGGCAAGGTAAAAAATGGTGAGTTAGTTACCCTTACCAAGGGTAGACTTCAAATTGCTTGCCAGTTACAAGTGTGTGTGTGTATGTATATGTATGCACACTTATGTATATGGTGCACAATGAAGATTGATTGCCTGAGCCTAAAAATCTTGCATCTGCAAGACTGGCTGCTGGAGTGTCCTTTGCTATCTTCCGCAGATCACAGTGATGTGAATGACATTCTGTGTTTTAGTGCTAGTGAGCAGGAGTTAATTACTTCTCTTCAAAAGCCATGCCTATTTTTCCCCCCGCCCCTTCCCTCCAGGCAGCTCACTTTTATGGGCATAATATCCACTCTTTTTAATGCATATAAAAGATGAATGCCTTAATTGCTTATCAAGAAAAGTGTGGTAGATGTAAGAGTGTGTTAAATTGTTGGTCTTAGAGGTTATCAATTGTTCTGATCTCTTGTATGTTAAACATTTGCTGACTGAGTATAGACATGTGGTTTTGGTAATTTTGTGCTTGTAAAACTTTTTAATTAAAAGGAAGTAGTAAGTTTAATGATTTTTGAGAACAATGCTTTGATTTTAAGCGGGGTGCAGAAAAAGTACATAGTAAAAAGCAGTCTGAGCCATTGTGTGCAGTAGTGAATAGTGGTGAAAGATGTGCTAGTTAGGGTAAGAGCACCTGGAGTTTCTCCAAAGAACACCTAGGATTTATGTCCAGCAAATATTGCTTATTAAGGTTGCAAATTATTTATGCTCAGATTTTAACCACACATTTAATACTTGTTAAGAACCCCTGTGTTTCAAAATACGGAGAAGTTGCCAAACATATCAATAATGCATGGTGGTAAGAATAACTGAAAGCCTCCTAAATCAAACAGATCTTGCATAACTTGAGGTTGTAGCCAGAGGTGATTATCTATCATTGTTGGAAGTGGAGCCTGTTTGTTATAGACAGGTTAGTTAAGGAAAAGAGGGATGGTACTACATTTGTTCAGTATAAACTTTGCCTTTTGTATTCTTTGGACGCTTGTTCTTGTCATATAACTTGCCTGTGGTTTAAGAGTTGAAGAGTTAAACTAACAGCCAAAAAATAGCCAGCATGGGAATTGACAAAGTGCTGACTTGGTTGTAGTTGTTAGTAGTCTCTCAGATGCCCAAATGTGTCTTGAAATTGTACACTGACAATAAAACAGTCTCGTTGCGTTTGCGATTAGCTTTAAAACATGTTCAGTGTATTTGCTGTGTGATTCAAAAAGGGTCTTTTTCCAGCTGACTGATGCAGTGGGTTAACC